ATATATATATTATATATATATATATATATATACACACAAACAAATCAAGGGGTTGAGCAAAAAAAAAAGTTTTTTTTTTTCAAAGAAAGTGCATGTCTGCATAGGAGCGTAAAATTTTATAATTCATGACAAAACATATTACAATATACAATATGAACACGGAGTGAACGTGTTCTTAAAGAAAGAAAAAAACAGAGCGTATTGTTTGTTCACTCAAACTCAAAAACGGACACTCATAAATTCGACATAAAACCATACAAGTGAGGATACAAACTGTTCCATATCTACAAATGTTCAGAAAAAGTAAATTATAAAACGTGATAATGAAAAGTTGTAAGAGCCAATCAATTAAATGATGTAATTCATTTGAGAATACCCACTTTTATTCATATGTCACGATCTGAAGTTATATTTTACCCAAATACACCAATGAGGATCACACAGCACGTAAGTTATTGTTTTGAATTCACAAGAATCGAGAATTGAGTGCTTGTTGAAACATATATCACGACTTTAAACGTTATTCGAAATCACGTGATTCTGTGATTCTACGTCAAGAAAAAAATTTTTTTTGGCATATTTAAAATTTGCATGATCACATCTGATATAGGAATTTTGCAATTCTAATATGGATAGAAACTTTACGAATTGTATTTTAAGGGTATTATTTAATATCTTTTATTGAATTTTACAAATATAATTTTTTAATAACGTCATTCAATGAATTCAAAAATTAAAGAAATACAAAAATAAGGGAAAATTTTTTTTCAGTTTTGTTATTGTTTAAAAAAAACGATAGTAAATCATAAAAAAAGTTATTTATTATTTTTTATATTATAGTTATGAATTATCTATTAACTATACAAAAAAAAGTCAAATAATGATAAAGAAAATATACTAATCTAAACATTATGTATTTTAAATTATATTACTTTATTTTTTATGCAATCTTTTACTGTTTGCTAAAATACGTATTAAACAGGAAATATTTTTTTGTGAATAAATATTTAAAATTCTTTGCTTTTTTCTTCTTCTAAACACTAAATGAAACTATAAACAGTCGTGAAACGATGTTTTCTAGTTACAATTTAAATAAAATGTTTTGGGACAAATACTAAAATATTGTACCGATGAATTAATACCTTAGAGAGAAAGTTTGAATATTTAAAACTGATATCTACTATATATTTTAATAAGATTTTATAATAAAATTTAAAGGAACTAACATCAAAATAATCATTCTGAATACTTTCTTTATCGATAAAAATAATACAAATGGGACGTTACGTTTCATTAAATTTAATTATACTTCAATGGCGTTTTATAAATTTTAACTATACTTAAATGACATTTTATTGAAATAACTGTTCAATAATGTTTCATTTAATTTAACTTTAACTTTATTGAATATATAAAATATGTTTTTCATGTGCATTTTACTGATTAAATGTAAATAAATGTATAAATATTAATTGCATTGCACCTAAATTAACAAAAAACAAACAGCAAATTTAAGACGATAATCAATTCAAATTTAGTTTGTATCAAACAAAAGTGGAAATATCACTAGGTTTGCAATATCAAACGGTACTTTGAACTGAGTTTGGACAAAACACACAAAATACGAAAACGAAATACCACTAGGGTAGCATCAGATTGGTGGAATCTTTATTTAATGATATTTAAATCCATGAAGAGTTGGAGATAATTATTAACTTATTTGAGTAATTATTAGGATTGCTTTAGTAACCATTTACTGGAAAATGGAACTCAGTGCTCCGGGAAGAACGAACTTCCCTTTATCAGGTAATTAAAAACTACTGGATGACTACCATTTTTAATTACCTAAGGAAACAGTTTCTCATCTTAATGTTGCGATGTACTCTATGCCTACCATTTTGAACTACTGATGATAAGAAACACGTTCTTTTTTGAACATTTAGCTTAACATATCCAAATCATAAGTTACAGAGCAAATCGAAATCATGTTATATTACCAAACTAACGTGATTCGTTAGAAATTCGGAATCAAGTTTTTTCTGCTATTTCCTTGATAATGTACGCGTTACTGGTTGACCTATCGTTAAAATAGAATAATTAATTTTTCTTGTTCTATCAACTAATTTTTGATTGTTTAATTGACTCGATTATTTATGTTTTGTAAACTAAATAAATAACATCACGTTAATTTCTTTTAAAGAAATAAGATTTTATACCCTTTAAATCTTTATATCATAGTATTTAAAAGGATTGATAATTTATGATTGATTCTAACAACTAATATTTTGATTGTTTAATTGTCGCAACTTAATTTTAGTAATGAAAAGTAAATCACATTATATTAATTTAAGTGTGCATAAACGTCGCTATCGTTCCAGCAAGTATTTCATTCTCACTTTAACGAGTGCATAATGGGTAATGTGCAGATTATCTAGGCAGTATGCAGATTGTCCAGTTAATTTGAGAAATGAAACAATGTTTTGACACTTCAACGGATCACCCTAGTTAATCTACAGATTAGCAAGATAATCTGTAGAATCGATTTCTACACTTTAGCAGTGATATTTACAAAAATAATTTTACAAACAATACTGGAAAAATTATAAACAATAAATTATAAAGTACTTACTTTCCTAAATTAGAAGCAACATCTAAGAATATCTTATTAAGAACACGATAACAAACTGGATAAGCGATTTCAAAGCGAATTTTATGCTATACTACACTATAAACCCCACACAATTGTTTTATTGCCATAAAATTTTCTCTACCCCGTTTTTTACGATTCCTTGTTATAACTTCTAAATCATGTAAATAAGAATAAAAGTTTGACCACTTACCTTTTTCCTTATGGGCGATTGTGTGACGAACTCAAAGATTCCATTGTATTTGAGTTTTGCTATTTTTATTCTGAGTTGTCATCATTGCATCACATCGGCGAAACTAAAAAGGGAAAATAAAATAATATAGAAATTAATGATAGCTGAGGCATATTTAAATGCGCGTCTCTGTATATTTTTGGTCTATAATTAAGCTTCATTCAATGATAGTATGATACTAAAAATGCTTTTAAAGACTGGGGTTTCAAGATATATAGTTTCAAGAAGACAAATTTGAAATGATTCATTTCAAAAAATATGTAATTGCTTGTTTTATGATTCATACATATATATTTATATTTTGCTTAGATTTCGTGAAGCTAAAAAAATTACATTTCAATGAATAGTATATTTAAAAGAACAAATTAAAAAATAGGTAGTTTAAACTTTACAAATATTTAAATTTTTTAAAGGTTAAGCTAATATGTTAAGGATAAATTTAAGCATGGATAATTTTGTTCACAACAAATAAAATGGATAATGTTATAGTAGTATAGTATTTTCAGTACGTATGGTTCAGCTAAAGTTTAAAGTAGTTAAAAATCGCAATAGCAGCAAAAAGAGAAAAAAAGAAAAAGAATTATGAATTAGAATCAATTACGGGAGTTGGCAAGAGGAGCCTCGAGTTTTTTTTTTGTTTTTTTTGTTTAATAAAAATTATTTTCTTTTTACAATGTTTACATTTATACAATGAAATAAATAATTAAATTCTTTAAAATAAAAATAAAAACTATTTTATACGTAAAAAAGAATTACAGTTTTGTGAAATAACTTTCCTTACTTACCAACAATTTTTGCACTGCAAAAATTTCAGAAAATAGTTTGTTCATTCTCGTACACAAGAATTGCGTTAGGCGTCACCAAGGATACTAAGTATTTGATGCTGAGTTTCCAATACTGACCATTCCTTACGAATTATTATAGCGCATTTTTTTTTCATCTGTGGTAAATTTTATTGCACTTCTTTTGGGAGAGAAAAAGTTTTCTTAAAGAAGTTTGAGACACAATTAGTTTAGAATATTGAAAAAAGATAAAAAAAATGATCAGTTAACTGAAATTTATATCCCCAGTAACTGTCAAGCTTAATTCAAATGTAAAAATGTGTAAAGAGTCACATATAAAAATATAAATTTCAAGTAACTAGCTCACATAATTTTTTTGTAACACTTATTTTATACAAGCAATTTGTAACAAAAATGAAATGCAAAACCAATTACTGCTTACATAAAGAAACAATATGTTTTTACAAATTTGTGACCTAATAGGCATAAACTTAATTTATAACATAACATACACTAATCAATCAGCCACAAAAGATGGAAACTGGTGTGGACATGGGGCTAGAGTGGATATTTTGAATAACTTTCTCTATTGGTCAAATTTTCTTCGGTGAGATTTTGCAGATTTACATTACTGATTTACACTTCCATCTGCAGTTGTATAATCACACAATGAATATTTTTGTTGAAATTTATAAAAAGAATGTTTTTCAGAGGCAAAAGTAACACTAAAAATTTTTCGTTACTCTTTTTATTTTCTCATATTACATATTTTATTTTCGGAATTGGGGCCGGGATAGCCTAGTTGGCAGGGCGGTGGACTCACGTTCATGGGAATGGGAGTTCGAATCCAGCCGGCCGAAGACTCCCTGTGTAGTAAACGGTGACTGGTGCACGTTAAGTATATCGAGTCACAAAGTCATACATTTTCCCATATCAAATTATACCTTTGGGGGGGGGGGTTACTGAATTGGAGATAGATCGTTCTTTGGTTCAGGTTAAAATTACGATATGTGGATGAATGAATGTGTTCACCCTATAAATCGGGTGTGACGTATGGGTGTGGCAGAGGTCGAATTCTTGGCCATAGATGGCGCACAATGGAAAACAAGAATAATCGCACTCCCTCTACCTTAATGACCAACAACAATTTTCAGAATTTTAACAAAATGTGGTAATAAGTCACTATCTATAAGGCTTTATACCTATTTTGATATCAATTATTGATTTGTGCAGTTTAAATTGACTAACATTAAGTATAAACAAAGATATGTCTTCGTGGAGCTATTATGATACATGGTGGAGTTAGTGAAGGCTTGTCAATTCTGGTCTCTTTCAACCTCCAATTAAAGAAATGTGAATTTGTTACAAACGTTGCACATTTCATGCTGCTAATTTTATAAATTAGATTATTTTTGTAGAATTAGTTGTAATTAGTGGTTCAATCTCAAGTAAAAAATTAATCATGAAGTTTGTATATTAATGCACTTTATAAAGGTTTTAAGAAACTACAAAGTAAAAGTTTAATCAAGTTTGTTACAAGAATATAAACCAATGTAGGCGAATTAAAGAAGAATTTTCGCATGCATTAAACTAAAACATAACACCAGAGAACTGTGGCTTCTTCTCCTTTGAGAGTTGTATACATTACTCTATTGAGGAAAATATTGCTAAGCCGAGCACTCCGCGTGTTGGTCTATTAGGACAATTTAGTCATTAAATTAAAACTATGGTAACCTAAAATTTATTTTAACCTAAAATTAATTCTGAGCTCTCAAATAAATCAAATTGAAATCATTAAACATTAAAAAATCATTCATTAGCATCTCAAAAATTATTAAACATTAAGGAACGTGCAATGAAATCTTAAATAGAATCGTCTACAGTTTTACTATTTCTAACAATCACTAATGTTAAATAAATGCAAAAAAATATTCTCCGACATTTTTCCCAAACGGACTAATAAATATATTAAAAAATAGGTTTTGGGATGGGGATCTAAATTAGCTCCTGGTAGTAAATGTCCACTATTCATTATCTTAGAACAAACATTTTTGTAGTTTTAAGAGATCAAAAGTACAGGGTAAACACAAAAGTTGAAAAGCAAAATATAATATTTTATCTTTTAAGCAACTTTATACTATTACGAATTTATAGCACTAAAAAGCATAAACTAAGTTCTAATGTAATAATATTGATAAATTAGCCACTCATAAAGAGATAAATAATCACAACTTTCTCGCAACGCTTGCTATATACAAGTTTTGATAATAAAAGTAAAATAAAATCTAATATTGTATCTATAAAAGACATTATATAAAATAAACCATTTACTATTAAAATCCATATTGATATTCAAAGTAAAAAAAATAACCAAAAGTAAAAAAAAAAAACACCGTCTAAGCTTTATACCCATTAGTTTACTCCAACGGAAATAAACTTCTTTCAATAAAGTGGCAACGATAAATTTTAAAATAGGTCGCATAAGTAAAATGGCAACAAAAAAACCACAAGAGAAAAATGGCTGTTTAGTAGCTGGAATATCCGAATTTCCCATCAATTGATCACTTTTATACGATATTCTACCCCTGAGAAATATGACTACGAGTTGCTAGAAATAACAACCTCATTTATTATTTTTGTTCGTCTCCAAAGCTAGCCTTTAAAACTCATAGGAAAACGTTTTAACGATGCTACTTTGCTGTATCGGGACTTGTGGAAGAAATATTTGACTTATAAGAATGTGGAGGTCTCTAATAATAGTAGAGTTATGTTTGAATCCATGAATTACATTTACGTAAACATGATATGAATTTGATAGCTTAGTACATACAGGACAGTTTTTAGTCACCTTTAAAATATGAATGTACTTCTGGAATTTCTGTAAAAAATTAAGTCTGAAATTACATATAATGGGAGTTACTCAAGATAAAATATCAATATTTAAGAAATCATTATCGAGGTTAATCCCTCTGTGAACGCAGGATTAACGATGTAGTGGGCAAAAAACTAGACTCATAGTGAAAGGAATACTTATCTTTTAAGGATGTGGTGGACTCTGGTAATAGTAAATTCATATTTAAATTCAAGATTATATTTGAGTAAGTAGAAAAGAATTTGCTAGTTTTGTATACACAAGACATTGCGTAATAACTCTAAAAACATACTTTCAAAACCTTTGTTAAAAATTAAATCAAAAGTATACTTATTATGCAATGAGAAAATATCAAATCTTAACGAATCATTATCGATCTCAATCCCGGTGAAAACTGGATTAAAAGTACTTGACAGGTTTATTGATGATACTATTTCACGGTGGTGGGTACAGAACAAGACTCATAGTAGAGAAATACTTGTCTTATAAGAATGTGTATGTCACTATTAATAATGATGTAATATATGTACTTTTAAGTTATATTTTAGTAAATAAATAAGCATTTTACAGTTTAGTATACATGTTGGAGCTAAATTTTCAAAGCCTTTTGTGTGCACGAAATATTACTCATCTACAAAGTAACAATGAAATGAAGATTTGCAGCATTTTACCAAGCTCTTGTATACATTAATGGCTTCCGTGTCGTTAAAGTTTCAAAACTTAAGTTTCTCTCATCTTACTAACTAGTTTGCTGATGCTATGATAACACTAACTAGATTCTCTGGATTTTGAAAAATAAACAAATATGGAACTCCGTAATTGTAACAATATTTTAAACTGTTTGCTTCTTTGCATTATAGTTTTTTAATTGATTGATTCTATCAAATGTGTTGAGTGCTTGATTGTATTAATTCCATTCTTTAGACATTAAAAGATAAGGAAAATTATGTTTACAAAAGCTTACAGGAGAGTTACTATTTTTTCAACTAAGTTCTTATTTTGTGCACTTTTGTGGTAAAATACATATAGAACGTTTTATTATCCTCCTTGTATATACTTAATAAGAATTTTTGTCAAAATAAAGGCAAATATATACACAAAATTATAAAATTTTCATTTTTAGGTTCATGGGATTCCTCATGCTATTTGGAATAATATCGAGGGAATAATATCGATTAATTTGCCAAATGTAACGAAAAATTTTGTAATTAAGAATAATGTTAAAAAATCACGTGTATTTTATTTCTCCATTTTAAAACTCAGAGTACAGCTGTAAGCACGTAAATAATAATAGGATTTTTTAAACTATTCGATTTATCTGTTCAACCGATTTCGTTTAAATTTTGTATTTAAGCAAGTAAAATTACATTCCTTAAAATGATGTAAAAATTGTATACCATGCAATTCCAG